GATAAGATGGTACTTGCTGTAACTTCTGCCGCCATCGCTGCTATTACGGATGCGTGCATCACTAATCGTTTTCTGACTGTCTCTTGAACTAAAACAGCCCCAACATACTCCGAACTCTCCTATGGTTGTCACTGCTGCACAGAGGACATTGACTATTGTCGCAATACTCCAGCCTTACGGCCTGATAATAAGTGCATTTGCCTTCGAGACGAATGAAACGAGACCGCGTTTAATATTGCATCCAAACAAGCGTATACATCAAGGATAGGACGAAAGAGGAGAGAGTGCAGTGAATCGGCGTACGCTCATAATTAGGACGTCACAAGCTTGGCCTTGGAATAAAGGAACGGCATCGGCACAGTACAAAGCTTGAACTTTTGACACTTCCGAGAAGAAATGTAAGATAAATGACCGTCAATTGCTGATGTGTACTACATTTCTCAAGTCTCCATATCTACAAATGTCTACCATTCAGAGGACGTACCTTGGGTTATTGAGATAAAAATTGATATATGTGTAACACAATACTATACAAAGAACTTAGTACATGACACGCGCAGCGATATTTGGTGCGCAATAATGACATTTCAGGGATTTTTATAGTTCACACGATCATCGTCAGAGACTTAATTGGCGGTTGTTATCGTTGTTTTTTCAGTCCTTGAAATTACATGTTTACCAAAATGCCAAAACAACGGAGCCTTTGAGATGATAGGTGTATCTGATCGCACTATATTATGAAGTGTGCGAAGGTTAAAAAGATGGCGTGAAAGCGTCAGACTTTTAAATGGCTTCCGCCAATTTCGAGTCACTTCATCGAGGAAAAGACTGTCCAGCGCGACCGCCTGGGACTGAAGTAGTGGGGCACAGTTACGCCTACTAACGTTATTAGTGTACTCCCGTCATATTGTGGGTATGCTTATCCCACAATAATAGTGGGGTTGTCTTTCCTTTTTTTATTTTTTAATGAATTTAATGAAAGCTCAGAATAAATTCGTACTTCCTGCTTTGCAATATAGCATTAAAGTTTTCTATTACTCATTAGTTTCACTAGAGATACTATTGTTTTTGCGTTACGGCGTTGAGCGCGCCGATGCTCGTAACCTAGCTGATTGCAAAACCAGTAATTCATGCCAATGTTAATGAGATGAAAACGCTAAGGTAGCTGTTGTTGTTTTCACTGTGGCGCAAATTGAAGCCTTTATACAGCTTGAAGTTCGTTCTTTTTTTTTGTTGTAGAACAGCCTTGGCATCACACTTGCACAAAGGTAAACTTTTGTTTGAACACAGATTCTAAGCATACGAATAGTATCTATACAGGATATAGCTTATCGTCAAACGTATCTGCCTGCATCGCAAAGGAAACGTTCGATAACGAATGACGATTCCCATTTTTACATTACATGACAAGGGTCTGTATGATATTCGGTGATTGCACTAGAAGTTGTCACGCTTCCTTGCAGAACATTAATCTAAGCTGAATGTAGGAAAGCCTGCCTAGTTAATCCCCATAGACATTAGTGTTTTTTGGCCATTAATTGCTATTGTAATCATGTTATATTGTGTTTACCGTATTCTTCAATGGCTGCATAGTCTAGGTCAATTTATTGGTCCTCAGCATGATCAGCAACCGTTCAGCCATTCCTTTTAACATATTATTCGCTGGCCCTCGCTTCCCATTTAGAAATTACCAACCAGAAGTTGGACGGATCAAACATAACACTAACCAGCGAAGTGTTTCTCTACATATTCAGTTTAGCTGGCAACAGTGGTGTTTGTCTCGTCACTATTGTGAAAACTAGCAGTGTCGTACCCGTACACGACGTAAATGTGGGCTGGAACGCTATCAGACCCAGATGGACAGATCAACAGGAACAATGCAACGATACATGAACATTACCGTGGGGTGGGGTTGACACGCATTTGATCGGGATCAGCGTATTTGATTTTTATTGAAGCTTCATAAAATTTGCCGCCCGTATAAATTCGAAATTAGTACTATGTCATAATTACCAACGCGCTATTTTCTCTTACTATTGTTATTATGTGTTTATTGCAATCGTCTACATTGGCACAGTACAGTCTAGGGCTAATGAGAACGAAATGTGTTTTTCTTCAACACTAAATAAGTCAATTATTGACATACTCGTAAACACGTCCCAATCTATCTGAATGCGTATGTCTTTCCGTTTTTTCCACAACGGCATTGATTAACTCAGTAACTTATTGGTTCTTATGTATCCAAAAATATCAAATCAAACCAAAGATCAAGACTGATTTACAATCAACCGAAATATCTATGCATATCTCGCTCAATGCCCTACATGAGACAGCCCACGAAGAAAACGAAGAAAACCGTGACGGTGGCGAAAGGTGAGCAATCAGAAAAAAGGCCAAATCAAAGAACGAGTCAAAAGCGAAAGAGAGTACCAACTATTTTGGCCTTGGCCGTCCCTCCACTCAGCTGCGACGGCAGATGCGGCTTCAACAAACAGTGAGCACTTCGACGGGCCGACCAATAGAGGTTTTCTTTGGCGCACTTTTCCCCCAGCACCGCCGCTGCCGCCGCAACAGCAGCGGACAATCATCACATGGGCCCGCGTCTAATCGTGGCATCGCCTACGAACTGTATGTGTCGTTGCCAAAATGGGCAGTCACCGAAGCGACCACCACATCAACACCTTTATCAACAACTGTTCCCCAACCAGTTCCCCCTCTCGCCGTTACCCTCATTTTCATCCTCATACACCTCGTTTTACCCTATCATCATCACCGCTCTTAACTATCTTAACCACGACCAGCAGCCACAAAATGACTTCGTTGTTAGTTCCTTCATTTGCTCGCTCGTTTGCTATTCCCTGGCCGTTTCGCGATCCATGTGCTTCTGGAAATGCTAGTGCCAGGTACCTCGCAGCACAAATGACTAGTTACAATTACCAAAGAACTAGTGTTACTTCAGAAACGCGTTCAAACCATTTTAGTACCTATTGCGTGCTACCGCACTCTCACAGACATGCGCTCATATATATATATATATATATATATATATATATATATATATATATAAATCGTGTTTCCTTGCCAATCTTGTTTTGGCAGTTTTCGGTCGCACTCCTTTGCTTATCTATCGATCTGGCCGCCGTGGAAGTATTACGAATTCGAGCGGGCGGGCAGGCGGCGGTCAACAGACCGACTGGGACCAAACCCAAGAAAAAGTCTGCGATGGCCAACATTCTCTTCCTCACAAGGTGTTCTCCGGCGACAGTCATTTTGCGAATGCAATGCCCAATGTAAGCTTGAGCCTACATGGGACCTCTTGAATTCTGTCTACTGTTCCTGTTTAACCGCTGCTCGCTGTTTTGACTACCCTTGCCGGTGCTGTTGATAACAAGGACAAAAGTGCAATATGCGTGAAGAACGCAGCGCGCCAGCGTGATCTACCTCCTAGCATACGACAGTGTAGTAGTGTCCCGATTGTTTGGCGTCACCATTTAGTACCTCATATGTGACTGAACGAATTTTGAATACGAGACAAGGGCAGGTTGAGGGTCCCTACGTCATGTATGCGCTACAGCGCAGCTTGTAGCAGCCAGTTATTGTGTATGAAATGGTTTCTATTTCATATTCTATATAATCCCCTTTCATTCCGATTCGACTTCTATGGGATTTATGAAATAATGCTTCGTATGTTTTCACGATGCGATCACACTTTTCATGTAAAAAATAATATAATTGGCTTACGGAGTTGCTACCACAAGATAGACGCGTAACAATAATGCACAATTTAGGAAAAAGGTACGTGTTGATACGTTACCTCCGACATCCAACATTATTTTTTCATTTTATTGGCTTGAGTTTTGTATCTTTTTTTTTTTACCTTAGAGACAAATACATACAATCTATAGCTATATAATATATTAATATTAAACGAAGTTCTGTTATAGCATTATACGGTTATCTGTTCTATAGTACAAAATAACAAAACATATTTGCGTATACGTGTCAGATGTTTCTGAGCAGTTTTTCAGGGCAGTGCGAATTGATCGGAGTCTAAACTATCGTACATTTCTAACTAGTACCATACTTCATTGACCTATCGAATTGGCTCCATTATTCAAAATTCAGCAATGCAGCAGCCTCGATCTAACAAACAACGCGGACAAACAGCTTAACAGATGCTGAAGTAAGACTAAAACTTTTTAGAGTAAAAGCGAACATTGTTATATACTTTCATTTTGTGTGTATCTGTGTGTATGTATGTACATGATACAAACCCTGCACGTGTAACTATAAGCTTTGACGCGAGCGTGTTCATTCTTCGAGCTCTCGGTGCATATAGAAGCCATCCATATATATGTATGCCTGTTCTGGTATGTTTGTGTATATATTCTATGCTTCTACTGTAAGTGTTCTGGCTTTGTTTGGTGTTTTCTGTTGTCTTGTTTATCGGTCTTGTAGAACTTTGGTTCTGCAGGTAGCATTCAGTTCCTTCGGCTTGCTATCATGGTCAGGGTCGTACAACTCACCTGAACGAAGAGACACCAATGATAAGGATCACATTTAGATCGCGCTGCTATTTTTTGTTACTGTAACGCAGTGCAAAGTATTCGGTAAAAAAGTAACACGAAGTCTCAGAGCTATTACTACTTCCGAAGAAATAAAAATTAAAAACTAGTTCAACCAAGTATTACTGCATTTTTCAAACAAAGATGAAAATATTTTCAACATCTAAACGTTGTTGTACAGCAGTTTATGTTTAACTGAGCGTAAGTAATGGCATGTAAGATTACAGTAAGCCCACTAACCGGCTGCGGGATAATCCGAGCAAAATACAACATATTACATTGAATCATCAGGAATGCTCTTCATTGTTAAATAGTTACTCTATTATGCTTCGAGTAACACTGACAGCGATTTCTATTTGGCGCCATTTCTGGCGCACGCCGCTAGAGGGCGGTGCTTCTGTATATCGAATCTGTAAACAAACATGGCGCCCAACATCGAAGCCAATCGAACTTCGAATCTGTGACGCTAATCGCTCAAATATCTCGATATGGTTGAACAGCAGGATCTCACCAAGCCTATAGTAGATCCAATTCTATTACTCGTTGAAGGTTCGGCCAAGTTACCACCAAGCGTAAACGATCTGACACCCGTGGACAGTCTAGAAGAGTTCGACAAGGTTTGCACGATCAATGTGCGTGCCCTTTTATCTCAGCAGGATCTGGACAAAATCGACAATGATCGCCGACTCAAGAATAGTGAGGAGAACCAGGTATGACACTAGACATGTGAATTCGTTAATAATCAGCTACTATTTTAAGCATACTGTTGCCATAATTTTATAATATTCGGTCATTTGTAGCAATGTGTGTACTAGATGCCACAACGACAGCAGAAGGTAACAAATGCCAGATCAGCAATTTCACCCAGATTGTCACCCAGAAACGCTTGTCAAAAATACTAAATATTTTTTTGATTAAAAAAACTTCGATATTATGCCACAGTTGCTTTTCATCGACTCTCGGGAAGGAGAACATCTATGTAATCGTTTTCAAGTCAATAATTTAAATAAAACAATTCTAACTCTAAGACAAGACTTGATTAATGTTTTTTCTATTGATTAGATCTAAGTGATTGTCTTTCGTTTTGGCGCAAATTGGCTCATATTGATTGGCGAGAACACGTACAAGTTTATTTCGCACCGAAGTGAAAGTCATCCTTGTCCGCCTCTAACGCAACAGCAAATGCCGCGGCTGAGTGGCTGTCAGCCGCCGAGGCACTGCCACAAAATGAACACTAGCAACAGCAATAGTTGTCTTGTGGTGTCACTTTCCTGGCACTGATCCTTACTCCCCCACTGCTCTATCTGTC